TTCACTTCCCATTCCGGTGATGGCACCACCTTCTCCGCTGTGTCTTGTGCGGAGCGCAATCTGGTAGGCATGCTCTAAGATTGTTTACAGTACTGTTGCTCCCACTGTTGATAGCGATGGTAGGCCTTTTTGCCAAAAATTTCCCCATGAAGAAGCCTCCTAAAAATGAAAGGGTAGTTTAGTCTCCATGGCCCATTCATTGTTTGTCTTCTGGTGAAACTGACACTAAGAGTGCGACCTGTGATGGTTAATTTTGTGGTGTAGAAACCTGTGCATGATAATGGCCCACCTTGATTATCATGCACATTGTAGGGAGAGTGGTCACTTTGGATGAGCTATTACCAGCAGGATAGTGAGTTTGTGTGTGTGGTTTTTGGAGGGGGGTGAGGGGGTGAGAGAACCTGGATTTGTGCAGGAAATGGCCCACCTTGATTATCATGCACATTGTGAAGAGAGTTGTCACTTTGGATGGGCTATTACCAGCAGGAGAGTGAGTTTGTGTGTGGGGGGGTGGAGGGTGAGAAAACCTGGATTTGTGCTGGAAATGGCCCAACTTGATGATCACTTTAGATAAGCTATTACCAGCAGGACAGTGGGGTGGGAGGAGGTATTGTTTCATGATCTCTGTGTGTATGTAATGTCTGCTGCAGTTTCCACGGTATGCATCTGATGAAGTGAGCTGTAGCTCACGAAAGCTCATGCTCAAATAAATTGTCACAAGTGCCACAAGGTGCCACAAGTACTCCTTTTCTTTTTGCGAATACAGACTAACACGGATGTTACTCTGAAACCTGTCCATGTGGACCCTCCTGAGGCACATTAACAGTCCATTAATGTGCTCTGACCTAGTCCCATTTCAACGAGGACTAGATCAAAGCGCATTAATGAACTATTAATGCATGTCAGCAGGGTCCTCATAGACAATCCACAACAGTGAAAATAGATTCACCCCTTCCCAGCTTTCCACAAAACTAAATGTTTGTGTAACAAGCCCTAAGACTACCGAATCATCTCACATAGGCCACCAATGAGCCAATCAGATGATAGCAACTTTCATTATCAACCAACCGAGGTTGGATCGGAACCAAAAATATAGAGAAGTAAGCCTCTGATCCCAATCCTGTGACATGCTGATGAGCCCCACTGAAGTCAAGAGGAGTTGGAGCCATTGAAAACCTTACAGGATGGATCTTCTATTGCATAACAAATCTAATGAACCACTGAGTCACCCCACCCGGTATATTCCATACCAGCAGACAGCCTGAAAGCAAACTTTGACAAACTATCATCACACCAAGGACTTCAGCTCTGGTTAGCAAGGAAGTGGTAAAATCTAATACATATGTGAAAGAAAAGGAGCACTTACAAGTAAAAAGTTATTTAAAATTCAGTTTAGCTTCATAGTGATTTAGCCTTGCTGTTTAATTAGTATTTAGAATGGCATGTTGTTTATAGTCATTGGTATTTCAATAGATGTTTAAGTGTTTAAAGTTTAATAAGCTCCTATTCTTATAAGAACAAAAAATGTGCGTAATTACATTTTCAATTACTATAGAGAATTTTTGGGTCCATGCAATTAATAAAAGCTTAAGGCACTTAAACATGATCTTGTTTTAAAAGCTAAATAGTTGAGCACTTCACTAATTAGCTCCAACACTTAGTGTTTTTTTCTAAATTAACAAAATAAAAATGTCATGTATTCGTTTCTTTGTAGCTGTTAAAGACACATGAGTTTGTAAACCAGTTTAATTTTAAAACTGAACTGTTCCCATATTTAATTCCAAATCTTTTTTTTTTTTTTTTTAAAGGTACAGGTTATGGGTCAAACTAGTTTCTGGTGTAGCTCCACTGATTTCAGGGACTTCAGTGTAACTCCACATACACCAGGGATTAATTTAACTATAATTCTTTGTTATTATTTAATCCTATTTTCTACATTATAATGTATATTACATATAAAAAATTAGAAGTACTTGTTGCAAAGTACTTCACTCAAAAGACAGAAAATCCCAGATATACGCTTGCCCTGGACACTTTAATTCTGTGTCTGTGTGCATCCAACCTATGCACTGAATAAGGCACGGGTCTGGTGGAAAAAATAGTACGTGAACTTGTAATTAAAGATTGTATCATAATGCATATACACAAAGGACCTGAATTAAAGTTGCATGGACAACCACAAACCTGACATTTCATAACTTTCTAGTCCTTGACTTTCTAAATAAGACAAATAACTTTATTGTACCAGTCTATTTGTATAATGGCATAATTTCCAGCTCAGGTAGAGGTACACATGCTAGTTTTGATCATGCTAGAGCACTAAAAATGGCAGCGTTGCTGTGGACAAGCTGCCTGATTATTTACCGAGGAACAGACTGTACCTGGCTGGCTATCCCATGCCACCACCTATACTACCGCAGCTACACTGCTATTTTTAGCACTCTACTTTGATCAAAGCTAGCTCATGTACATCTACCAGAGATGGAAATTACACCTCCAGATGCAGGGTACCTTTCATTAGCAAGTAGCAGGACAAAGCTGTTATCCCAGAGGCAGGACAGGCCACTGAGGACATACGCTGGGTCCACAGGGTGGAGCTCATCCTTGCCTGGCTCCTTTTCTGTTCTCTCCCCAGAGGGGTAGGGGGATCCTATCCCATATAGTGTCTCAAGAGTGGGGGATGAAGAGAGGGGGAAGTTTGGCCCAGTTCTCTCCTTGCCCTGACAGGTACGAATGAGGCTGTGGCACAGAAGTTGAATAAATACTCAATTGATTAAAAAATTATATTAAAGCTAATGTTAAATATATATATATGTAATACATAGGCTGGGAAAAGTGTGTCTGTACATCTGGGTATAGTGCTTAGATTATCCACAAATATAGTTTTTAAAAGTCATATAATACATAAAATACATGATCAGCAACAACCCAAATTTAGATGAATAGATTTAACAATACTGTTTAGATATTAGAATCAGATTACTCGGGTACATCACTCATGAAAAGCTGTACAGAGATTTGGTTGTGGAAAGCAAAATATATCAATGAGTGGAGATTGTCTCTCAGTAATTGAGAATTAGGTTGGTTGTCCATTTAGAAAATACAATCCATGAGGAAAGTATCTGTTACTTTCTTGACTGCGCTTCTTATCGGCGCTCCAGCTCATTATATCAAATATTCGATTGATAAGAACAGATTTAAAAAATTTATTTTAGCCAGCAGGTGGCGCTAAAGGGACAGGTTAAGGAATACAGTCTACTGAACTAGCTCTTATTGCACAGTCAAGAGCAAATAAAGAAGAAGGGTGTCAAATATGCTGGACCACCTCAATTCAAGGCTTTAAAGTAAGTAAAGTCTTTAAAATTAAAAAAATGTATGTTTTGGTCAATATTTTAAGGTAGTTGTGATTTTAATTATTTTATAGAATTGCAAACATTCGCCATTGATTGTTTTTAATGCCATTCCTAGGGATGCAAGAAACCACAAAAATCTGCAGAGGAAGATAAATGGAAAGAATTGCAGTCCAGGAATCTGAGCACAGGAGTGGGAAACAGGAACTCAGGACTGCTCTAAGTGTTCTGCAATTTTTTGCTGCCCAGGATGGAGTTTTCAGCACAAACACACACACACACACACACAGGATGATTAAAAAAAACAACAACTCCTCCGCCAAAAAATAAATAAATAAATACCCCAACCAACACTGCACAAGCAAAACAAAAATAAAACCCCCAAACCGGCCCGGTGCAGAGGAAACAAGCAAAACCCAAAAGAAAAGGATTGTGAAGCAATGTGGCACCCCAGAAGTTGGCACCCAAAGCAATCATCCTGCCCACCCACCCCTAAGGCTGGCCCTGCAGGAACACCTTTGGTCAAGTCTCTGAGGGACAGATTTTCAAAGGTATTTAGACACCTTAAATTAATTCAGAATTAAAATTCAAAATAAAATGATCTGGACAAACTGGAGAAATGGTCTGAAGTAAATCGGATGGAATTTAATAAGGACAAATGCAAAGTACTCCACCTAGGAAGGAATAATCACCTGCACACATACAAAATGGCAAATGACTGTCTAGGCAGGAGTACTGCAGAAAGGGATCTGGGGGTCCTAGTTGATCACAAGCTAAATATGAGTCAACAGTGTAACGCTGCTGCAGCAAAAAAAAGCAAACATCCTTCTGGGATGTATTAGCAGGAGTGTAAGCAAGACACAAGAAGTAATTCTTCCACTCAACTCCGCACTGATTAGGCCTCAACTGGGGTATTGTGTCTAGTTCTGGGTGCCACATTTCAGAAAAGATGGGGAAAAATTGGAGAAAATCCAGAGAAGAGCAACAAAAACGATTAAAGGTCTAGAAAATGTGACCTATGACGGAAGATTGAAAAAACTGGGTTTGTTTAGTCTGGAGAAGAACAGACTGAGAAGGGACACCATAACAGTTTCCAAGTACATAAAAGGTTGTTACAAGGAGGAGGGAGAAAAATTGTTCTCAAACTTTAAGGACAGGACAAGCAGCAAAGGGCTTAAATTGCAGCAAGGGCGGTTTAGGTTGGACACTAGAAAAAACTTCCTAACTGTCAGGATCGTTAAGCACGTGAACAAATTGCCTAGGGGGAGGTTATGGACTCTCCATCATGGGGGATTTTTAAGAGCAGGTTGGACAAACACCTGCCAGGGAGGGTCTAAATAATTCTCAGCCCTGCTGTGAGCGCAGGGGACTGGACTAGGTGACCTCTCCAGGTCCCTTCCAGTCCTGTGAGTCTAAAGACAGAGAGAGAGGTGCCTCCTGGAATAATTTCCAAAAGCTCCTAGAAACTGACAACCGGGAGCAAGGAGGGCAGAACGCCCAGCGCCTGCGCATTGACTGAACCCTCCCTCTCTGCGGGGCCCTCCTCCTACCGGCAGGGTGGTCCCTCTTGCCCATGCGCAGTAATGGCGCCCGCAGCCGCCCGGTCGCTATAGTAACGGAGAAGCGCAGCAGCCTCTCTCCAGCACTCACCGCCTCCTTAGCCTGGTGGGTGGTCTTCAGCGTCTGGTAGGAAAGCTCCATGGGTGCGGGCTTTGCGGGGAAAGACTCACCTCACTCACCGCACCGGCGGGAGCGTATAACCGGCTCGGAGACGTGGGGGCAGCCACCCCACAGCGTCTCATCCACCCACCACACAGGGGGAGGGGCTGTCTGAGGAACTAGCCAATCAGCGGGCTCTGTCCGCAGTCCCAAGCCATCAGAGCCCCGGGAGGTGGAGACTGTCTATCTAACTGTCCAATCAAAAGAGGGGGCTGCTTGACGAACTGCCCAATCGCCATATAGGGAGCAGGGCCCGCCTGTGAAACTGTCCAATCACCACATAGGGCAGTGGCGGGGGGGCCCCCCCTTTTTTTTTTTTAAACTCCTGAGCCAGTAAGCAGGTGTTGGCGCGCTGAGAGCTTGGGGCGCGGTAGGGCTCAGCTGCGATGGGCTGCGCCGCCTGCAGTTCCTGCCCCCGCGGCTGAGGCGGGCCCCACCGTTAGCCCCTCGCTCAAGGCCCAGGCCTACTGTGAGCAGTAGAAGACACTTGTCCATACGTACCCACTCTGCCATTAGCTTCCCTCTCCTTGCCAAGGCGTATTGTGACTGGCACAGAACAACTGTCTATACATGTTTCAGAGTAGCAGCCGTGTTAGTCTGTATTCGCAAAAAGAAAAGGAGGACTCGTGGCACCTTAGAGACTAACCAATTTATTTGAGCATGAGCTTTCGTGAGCTACAGCTCACTTCATCGGATGCATACCGTGGAAACTGCAGCAGACATTATATACACACAGAGATCATGAGGTGGGGGGTGGAAGTGGTATTGTTTCATGATCTCTGTCTATATAATGTCTGCTGCAGTTTCCACGGTATGCATCCAATGAAGTGAGCTGTAGCTCACGAAAGCTCATGCTCAAATAAATTGGTTAGTCTCTAAGGTGCCACGAGTACTCCTTTTCTTTTTGTCTATACATGCCCACCCTGCCATGATTCAGAGTAACAGCCGTGTTAGTCTGTATTCGCAAAAAGAAAAGAAGTACTTGTGACACCCAATTGGTTAGTCTCTAAGGTGCCACAAGTACTCCTTTTCTTTTCACCCTGCCATGAGTTCACCTTTGCACAGGGCGCATGCTGAGCAGTGTAGGACCCCTGTCAACATGTTCCCACCCTGCTGTTAGCTCCCTTTATGGCAGTGTTGGGGACACTGGGGCATGGCCACTAGGTAACTAGAGGGGATGGAAGACCACGAGTGTCGATGAAGCCCCCTCGCACTAGGCCCAGGTGTCCTTGCCCCCCCGCCCCGGAGACACTCGCAGCAGCTCTGCGTACTAGACCCAAGTGTCCTTGGCCTCCCCCTCCCCCGGCCTGGAGGCACTCACAGCAGTTATGCTGAGGATCTGCAACAATATGCTGCAGAGTAATGATTGCCTGAAACTAAGCAAGGCCAAACAGGGCAGATATGGAAGAACAATGCTGAATAAAGCAGCTTTATGTATAGTTTAACAAATGATACAGAGAACCAGGGAACTAGCTGGGAACTGGATTGGCTGGCTATATGGATACTTGGGGCAGCTTGCTATTGGATAAGTATGCTGGGAAAAAGGATGTATAAAAGCCTGTGTAACTTCCTGCTCTGTGTGCAGGATTTGAGATTTTACTCTCCCTGTACCTTTTTGCAGCTGCAAATAAACTTTTCTGCTTCTCCACCCCGTTGTGATTATTGGGTGTAGCACACCGGGTAACGAACCAACTCAAGCTGTTGTTCAGCCTCTCGGCACTGGGTGCCGGCAACAGCAGGGAATGTTCTGAGGGCTAGGGAACACATCTCAGAAGGTGTTTCCCCCATGTTTCCATCCTCTGTCCATAGCAGGGTATATTCAGAAGGATATGGGATATCTCAGAGCATGCCCACCCTCGCAAACCACCACTTGCGCCTGATAAAACAGCTGTTGTTTGCCATCTGAGGAGGTGTGGAGCCAGAATGTTTAGTGGGTCAGGGAGGCATTTCTGATGGGAGGTAATATGGGGGGATGTGGTTGAGGCAGGTAGGAGTTTGTCAGAGGATAATATGAGGGATATAAATGGGGAGTGATGGGAGTGTGCCCTGATAGATGATACCTAGGGGGCACAGCAGCTGAATTGGTTTAGGACAGTGCAAGTAGGGATGGCATGTAGTTGTCCAAAGATAATTGACCTTGGTGGGTGTCGATGCACTGAACCAATTGAATTTAAAACAAGTTCAATACAACTGGTGGCTTAATTAAAAATGACGGGTTTCAGAGTAGCAGCCGTGTTAGTCTGTATTCGCAAAAAGAAAAGGAGTTCTTGTGGCACCTTAGAGACTAACAAATTTATTTGAGCATAAGCTTCTGTGAGCTACAGCTCACTTCATCAAATGTTTCAAGTCGCTAGCATAGGCAAGGTCCTGATGGTAAAGCCAATCCTAAATCTTTACTTTGCATCAGGTAAGACTGCTGCTTGGTAGTTTAAAATCAAAACCACTATTTATAGAAAGACCTGGAGTTCTACTCACTGAATGCAGATTCTGAAACAATGACAGGAATTTCCAACAACTTTTAAAAAAGGAATCTTCAAAATACATTGTAACTATACCTATACTAAAAGCTATAGGTAAGATTGCAAAATGGTTTCAGTTATCCCATTTCCATTAGATTCTGAAAAGTTTTCCTTTTGGGATGAAACTGCTCATATTTGGTCTCAGGCTAAAGGTTGGTTTTGTTTGTTCAGTAAGAGGTTAAAAAGCTATATTCTCTTCCCATTAAAAAACATGAATCATGATTTTTTTATTATTAGCCAGAACTACAGCAAAAACTCCTAGAGTGTGAAAAATTGCATGTATAAAATAGTACCTACTGAATAGTGCCTTTGCAAGTTGTAGAAAACAATGTTTGAAAAAGAATAAGATACCATATAGGCAACTAAGAAGAAATGCTTGAGTAGCAGCCATGTTAGTCTGTATTTGCAAAAAGAAAAGGAGTACTTGTGGCACCTTAGAGACTAACAAATTTATTTGAGCATAAGCTTTCGTCAGCAACAGCTCACTTCATCGGACGCATGCTAACAAATTTATTTGAGCATAAGCTTTCGTCAGCAACAGCTCACTTCATCGGACGCATGCTCAAATAAATTTGTTAGTCTCTAAGGTGCCACAAGTACTCCTTTGTAAGAAGAAATGGGCATTTAAGGCTGGCTTGTTGAGCAGGCTTGTTTGCTTCTTTGTAATATCACTGCATATTTTCTCTCCACCTAGCTAGACAGATGTAGGGCTGCTAATAGGATTAAACTATATAAGATTGAGAATAGATTGCTAAGTGGTTTCAAAGCCCCTCTCCAAAAAACAAACCTTGACAACTGGGATAGGAAAAATTTCAGGAGTGAAAGTATTGTGGCTCTAGCAATTTTTATTTGGTTTTGATGTATCTGTACCACTACAAATTCTGATGGTTTTTAAAGGCCCTGATCCTTTAAGCACATGAATAGTCCCATTTACTCTAATGGAACTGTATGGTTGCTTAAAGTAAAACACACATGTAAATATTTACAGGAGTGGGGCATACATTTCTTTCTCCTTCCATCATGAGACTAGGAGTCTCAGTGAAAATTAATATATTGCTATCCCTTTAATTCAGCCTACCAGAAAATATCTCCAATCAAACAAACATGGAAACTCAACATGTGCTCTCATTTCACACTAATGGGATGTGAGCCTGGAAGCATAATTGGAGTCCCATGAATACTAACATTATACATAGGAATTTCTCTTTAAGAATGATGAAAATAAAAAACCAAGCACAGCAGGTAAAAGGTAACAAAACTTACTCCGCTGCAACATTAAGGTTGTAAAGTTGAAATCAATACAGAAGTTAACATTAACGTGGTCCACATTGCACACCATGTATATTTTATTGTCTAAATCTAGTAAATAGGTATGCATTAAACTACACACTTAGCAGGAATGAAAATACACTGCAATGTAACTGAGTTAATATTCCTGGAGGAACCTTAACTTCTACATTTCCTTATTTTTCATTTTAGCTCTGAAGCCATAGCCATTACTTTGCATTAAAATATTTTTTGCATTTAATATAGCTTGCTCAATATATGTTTTAGATATGGTATTAAAACTAAGCATATCCCTCCTCTTAACTCACCAAGTAAAAGCCTGTTTGTAAAGAAGCCAAAGCTAATGAGTGGTGTTTTGTAATTGGCGTATTGATCATGTCATGTCTATGCATGAATGTTAAAATTCCATCTTATAAATTTTGTTCCTTTAATGGTCAAAAATGGACAGCCACTAGAGCTGTTTGCTGTTCCATTTGGTCCCCAGCAGGTGTATCTACTTGGTGCAGAGACCATGCATCTTGGGGTGGTGCCTCACTGGTGTGGTGTTTGGCATACTCCTAAGGGAGCTCAATGGTCGGGGTGGGGATGGGGTGATGGCTGCAAGAGAGTAAACATACTTTTCAAGGGGTGGGATAGCTCAGAGGTTTGAGCATTGGCCTGCTAAACCCAAGGTTGTGAGTTCAATCCTTGAGGGGGCCATTTAGGAATCTGGGGCAAAAATTGGAGATTGGTCCTGCTTTGAGCAGGGGGTTGGACTAAATGACCTTCTGAGGTCCCTTCCAACCCTGATATTCTATGATTCCATGAAAGTCTGTGCTTGATTTCAGTGGTTCCAGATCAGCCCCAACACCTAGTGGTTCAGGATCCATGGACCCATGCAATAATGAAATATGGCATTCCATACAGCTAGGACTATCCTTAGGCTGTTTTCCTGGGATAGGAGAAGGGGGAATGCCCTGGTGTACTGGGCAGTATATTCCAATAGTATTGTTGTCCATGCACGGACAGCAGGACAAATAATGGGTGCATCCATGGCCTGGAAACTGTGTTGATGTGACTGCTCACCATTAAAGCGCATGGTTGGCAGAATGGCATTGCACTCTCCTTGCTCACTATGGGCTGCTGTCAATACTTACATCTTGCACATGCCCAGTGGGTCACAGTACTAGCTCTCCTTCCCGATGAAAGACATCCCAGGCCTAGTGGAGCTAGCTACCTGT